GGTTAAAACACTCTTATATATATATATACATACATATCTCACAACACCTACTCAGATCAATTGATTGCGCATCTGCTTGTCAGTTGTAAGTCACCTCTGGTCAGGGGTTTGATTCTCCTCAAGTGTAGGGTGTGGTACTTGAATTCTTAGGCGCAAGAGGGATGACCGATGCTCATATAAAAGCCTCCTGCCATTCTTTTTTTTTAAAAGGAAATATACATATCTCACATACAACAGCAACAACAATCCTTTATCGCACTAAGTAAACTAAGTAGGGTCGGCTACATGAATCTTTTTTCTCCATTGAGTTCTATTGAGTATCATACTTTCATTTAATTCTTATAAATTTATATCATTTTTGTACATGCCCAAGTCTTTTTTGGGTCTACCTCTACCTTTCTTAACATAAATCGAATCTAAAGCATCTACTCTTTTAATTGGATCATCAGATGATCGATGTCTTATGTGACCAAACCATCTAAGATCACTCTCTCTAATCATGTTCGTCACTGGAGCTACACAACCCTTTAATGGATGCATTTGATTTGTTTCACATTTTGTCACTAATGTCAAGCCACTCTTTTATAGGCCAACATTCTGCATCATAAAGCACTACAGGTCTCACCACCATCTTATAAAGTTTTCCTTTTAAGTTTCAATGATATTTTTCTATCACATAATAGGCCTGTTGCATTCCTTCACTTCAATCAACCAACCTGAATTCTTCTAATAACATCCCCATCTATATCAATTGACCCAAAATATCTAAAACGTTCACTTATCTTGATGACTTGATCACCCATTATTACAAATCTGTCACTAGATCTACTACTACTACTAAAATTACATTCCATGTATTCAATTTTAGATCTACTTAAATAAAAGCCTTTAGATTAATGTTAACTTCCATAACTCAAGTTTTCATGAACTTTTTCACTAGTCTTATCCATAAGAAGGATATCATCAGTGAAAAGCATACACCGATGTACATCCTCCTGTAAATGTGTAGTAAGAGCATCCATAACCAAAGCAAAAAAGATATGGACTTAAAGTCGATCCCTAATGTGATCTAACTGAAATAGAAAACAACTTGGTCAATCCTCCTTCCGTGCGAACACAAGTAACAACTCTAACATACATATATTTAATCAGTTGAATATAAGCCAAGTCAACACCCTTCTTTCCTAGAACTCTACAAAGAACTTCTCATGGAGCTTTACGATAAACTTTTTCTAAATAATAATAAAGGAAAAAATCAAATGTAGATCCACCTTGCTCTCTCTATATTTTTTCACCAAACATCTCAATAAATGCATGCCCGCCATAAATCAAAAGCTCATAAGAACTTTCGTACGATACACAACAGCGTGACCGCATATGATTTGTCATTCGTATGTGCGGTCGACCGCACGTAATATTTTTCTCATGATGAGACCAATCAGCTCACAATTTTGAAATTTCCATGATGAGATGGTTATTTTGACCATAAGTTTGCAAATTTAAATTTCATTTTACAAAACAATAATTTTTTTTTTCAAAGTCCTAAATAAAGTTCGTTGGTGCCTTCTTAAGATTCATTTTTGAGCCATTTTCAACTCTCTCATTAAAGCTTCATTTTATCTCTCCCCTAAGTTTCCCACCCCATCAAACTTTATTTATTATTTCTCATGTGAGAAAATTCATCCTCGCGTGGAGGCGCAATCACTTGACCAAGACTTTGAATAGTCAGTACCGTTAGACCTATTCATCAAATAAAAATCAGACTGCTGCAGCAGCAACACAAAAATGTGTATATAAACAACAGCACAGCCTATGCATATTACAGAAACAAATTGAGTGTATAAACATGGCAGCCACCATCCTCCTCCTCCTCCTCCCCCTCTCCTTCCTCTCCCTCCTCCCTCCTCTCCAAGCCGCCACCTTCACCATCATCAACCAATGCTCCGACACCGTTTGGGCCGCCGCCGTTCCCTCCGGCGGCGGCGTCCAGCTCAACAACGGCCAAACATGGGTCATCGACGTCCCCGCCGGCACCACCGGAGGCCGCGTATGGGCCCGCACCGGCTGCTCCTTCGACGCCTCCGGTAACGGTCAATGCCAAACCGGTGACTGCGGTGGCAAGCTGGCCTGCACCGCCTACGGGTCGCCGCCGAACACCTTGGCTGAGTTTGCCCTCAACCAATTCTCCAATCTGGACTTCTTCGACATCTCCAACGTCGACGGCTTCAACGTGGGGCTTGAATTCAGCCCGGATCCGGTGGGGAGCGGGTCTTGCCACGCGATCCGGTGCGCCGCGGATATTGTCGGGCAGTGCCCGGCGGAGCTGAAGGCGCCCGGAGGATGCAATAACCCCTGCACCGTGTTCAAGACGGATGAGTATTGCTGCAACTCTGGGAGCTGCCAGCCGACGGACTATTCTAAGTTCTTCAAGAACCTCTGCCCCGACGCGTATAGTTATCCCAAGGATGATCAGACGAGCACCTTCACTTGCCCCGCCGGCGGCAACTATAGAGTCACCTTCTGCCCTAACTGATTCCGGCCGGCCCGACCGGGAAGTCCAGACGACAATCTGGATGTTGCCACGCCGTTGTGTATCGCATGACGGCTTATACGAATCATTGTAGGATTTTCTCTTAAATAAGTGTCCATGCATGTTTTGTGGGCTATCATTTACATGTATAGTTTACAGGAAGAATGATTTAAGAGCCTTTTGTGATTGTAAGGCCAAGTTCGGAATAAGGTGATGTATTAGGATTATTGATGAGGGAAGGAAATTTAAGGAAATAAAACGGACACATGATAATATGAGACTGGAATACGTGTAGACATGAGAATATGATATAAAGGGGCTCTAACATACATACCGACCCATTCTTAATAATGTATTTATATATGTACCTAACGCATAAACTTTAATTTTTATATTTATAAGAAAATAGGTAAAAATTATATAAGACGGAACTGACAAAGAAATAATAAAAGATGATAAAAATGTTAATGGTATTAATTTTTAAAAGTTAAGAGATTCTAAAATGTTATTTATTATATGAAATAAAAAAAAGCATTAACTCACTTATATTACATTAATATCAGTTTAACTTTTAAATAAAATATTATAATAATTTTCTTAAAAATTAATTTTATAAATATTTTAAAACTTAATTCGTTACTCTTAAAGATTGGGTTTGTTAATGGTTTTTAAGCCTCACCATGGATCGATTTTCTCAGGGTGTAATTGAGCCCAACCGACTCATCAACTGGCTAAGACTCAACTGAATAACTAACTCGTGAGTTGAGCTCAATGAGCTAACACGCCAAGCTCAAACAAGCCCCGACTCAATTCGCTAGCTCGTTCAAAAAATATTAAGACAATTTTATATTCAAAAAATACTAAACTCAAGACTTATTATAAAATTATTAAAAATGTTTTAAAAATAATATTTTGTATCAAAGGATTTTTATTTTAAATAAAAAAATAATTTTGATCTCTCCATAAAGAGTTGATGTTCTCAACATTTGGATTGATTTATTAAGTTTTTATATCAATAAGCGACCCCTTTAAGGTTTTTAATAACTGCATCTCTACATCATCAATGTCAATGTCATTATTTGCCTCAAGCTTTCTTACCCCAAAACCTTATCTGGTTAACACATTTAAGATATATATAATATAATATAAAAATTTGACCACCATTGAAAGAAGACTCCAATCCTCAAATCAATCTTGCATTCTGCAGCTCAAAGACAAACTTCACAATGTTTCAAAAGGAGATCGACCCATGACAAAATACCTAAATACATAATACTTTATACGATTAATGGTTTGGCATCTTCCTATCATGCCTTCAAGACATCCATTCGCACACACCAATAAACTTGGATGATCTCTATACATTCTTATGGAGTGAAGAACTCACCTTCGCTCAAGAGGCAATTAAAGAAGGTAATGTCTCGCAACCAAATATCATCGCACTGGCTGCTTCTAATCGTAGCAAATACAAAGGCCAATCTAATACCTCTTCTCCTACGCGAAACTTCAACTATGGTTCCTACAAGAAACCATTAAAAAAAACATCACTTGCCAAATCTGTACATTGCATTCAAATGTTGGCACTGACACTGACATGATCACAACTATCAGCCCACTACTGCTTTGATCTCAAATTCCACATTCAATATCGATCAGCAGTGGAACTTGGATAGTGGTGCCACTCAACATCTCGCCGCCAATTCAAGTCGGCTTCACAACGTGCAAGACGACAAAGGCGACACCTCTGTCTCTATTAGAAATGGTCAACAACTTCTCATTACTCACATTGGCCAAGGACTGCTTCCAACTTCCACTCGTAAGATCATGCTCTTAAATATCAATTATGTTCCTAGTTTAGCATATAATTTACTTTCCCTTCATAAATTGACTACGCAAAACTCTTGTATTATAACTTTTATCGATAACAGTTATTCTATTAAGAATGTGAAGACCAACAACACTCTTCTTAAAGGACCTTGCATACAATGGTTGTATACTTGTATCCAATCTCATTACCTTCATCAAGCACAAGAAAGTCCTCGGATTTTGCTCTCGTATCGATTTAGTATGTTCCTGATCTATGGCACTTACGACTTGGCCACCCCCACAAACACACCAATTTCTTGCTTCTAGTATTCAACATGTCATTCCTAAATCATCTTGTACTTCATGTAGTATGTCTAAAAGCAAGAAATTACTACAACCTTAAAAATTATTCACTTTGATGTAAGTTGTCATTCTCCCACTTTCTCTTATCAAAATTATAAATGTCATGTCACTTTTGTTGATGATTTCTCTTGTTTTACTTGCTTAAACATAAAAACAAAACTTTCACCAAATTTCAGGAAATCAAATGTCTTGTCAAAAATCAATTAAGCTCCCGCATTAATACCTTCAAACTGTTGGGGGAGGCGAATGCTTGAACTCTAAATTCAATTTCTATTTATCTTAACGTGGCATTCACCATCAATATACTTGCCCGTATACTCCCGAACAAAATAGTGTTGTCAAACGAAAGCATCGCCATTTTATAGAAACGGTTAAAACACTCTTTTACATCATGCTTATTTACCTACTCTTTTTTGGGCTGACACATTACTCACTCGCTGTTACCTCATTAATCGCCTACCTACCAAAACGCTTCACTACAAATCTTCATATGAGATATTATTCCATAAATGACATATCTATCACCATTTAAAAAATATTTGGTTGCCAATATTTTCCTTGGCTTAGGCCCTATCTTAATAATAAACTTAAACCTTTATCCAAAGAATGTGTTTTTCCCGGTTATGCCCCTTTTCAAAAAGGCTATAAATGCCTTGATTTATCTACTAACAAAGTTTATCTCTCCCGTCAAGTTATCTTTAATGAAGACGTCTTTTCCTTTCAAAGGAAATCAACTTCTTCCTCATTTAATTCCCCACCCGCCCCCACCATACCTCCGCTTCTCCTGGTTCCTTCTATAGCATTTTCCCCAACCTCCAATAATTATCATAGCACTCCTCATCTGCATAGCCATTTTACCATTTCTCCCGCAGCTATAGACACACGGGACTACTCAAACCGATCCTTCTTTATCCTTGTCACCTGAGCCACTGCTAGCATCATTGCCTTCTCTTCCCTCACATCCTATGCCCACCAGAACTAAAACAGGTAGTCTTAAACCTCATCATATCGTCAATCTTATTCATCAAACTACCAATGATCCCACTACTTATTCTATGGCCACTAAATATGAACATTGGAGAAAAGCCACGTCATCTAAATTTCAAGCTTTACAAAACCTGGGAATTTGTACCTCCCATGCCCCATTATAACATTCTTGGCTGCAGGTGGACCTTCAAGACCAAGTTTAATTTCGATGGGTCAATAGTTCGATATAAGGCATTACTTGTGGTTCATAGGTTCAAACAGCAAGAAGGCAAACATTATGTTGAAACATTCAGTTTGGTGGCAAAGATTGCTACAATCTGAGAGTTTATCACAATAGCTACCACCTACCAATGACAAATTCTTCAACTTGATGTAACCAATTGTTATGAAAAATGACAACAATAAAGTGCAAAATAGAATGAGAAAAATTGCACGCAGAAAAACACCAGAGCGACACACAGATTTACGTGGTTTGGCAAATTTGCATACATCGCCGCGGAGGATTTTATTTCTTTGAGGAATTACACCGATTTCACGCTCGACTGCCTCAGCGTTTACAAGAAAATCTCTATTTTCTTCTCTCCCTTCCGCTCTCTCTCTCCTCTTCTTCTCTTTCTCTTTTAGAGGACTTGGATTGACCTTGCTTGGCTTGTGGCTTGGCATGACTTATGACAAACCATAAGAGACTATTTATAGAAACCAAAAGAACGGTGGGTGGGAGGTAGGTGAACGGTAGGTGAGAGGTAGGTGAGCGATATGTAGGATGTGATAGGTGAGCAGCATGTGAGATTCTTAATTAGGAAGCTAATTAAATTGCAGTGGACCGAGTCTCCACATTACCCAACAATTCTCCCACTTTGAGACAGGGATACTAACTGCATCACCTACTGACTGCATCATCTACTAGTTGTGCCGACCTTTTCCTCAAACATGATATCCTTCACCCCTGCAACTCGAAGCCCCTGTCTTCATGCCAAAAGACCAGCTGAACTCAAACACAACTTCAGCTTCTCACGAGTAATACCCTCGGTTGACATATTACTGTCAACGCACCTTGTACCACCAAGCTCTTTACTATATTACGTTTGTATCTGCTTACAACTCTCACAGCATGAGCAATATCATGCCCCTATTGAAAGCACTTTTCAACAAGTTCTGTCTTGTACCTCTTACTGCCACCAAGCACAGTCTTCACTCGGTACACCCACATGTTGTGCAATGTCTTCTTCCATGGTGGAAGTTCTGCCAGCTCCCAAGTCTGATTCCCTGGCAGGGAATCCATCTCCTCCTTCTTAGTCAGCTCTCGCTTGCTCGAATTCTCATCTTGTAAGATTTTTTCATAACTCTGTGGTTCTCCACCATTTGTCTGTACAAGGTCCGGTTTTCCTGCCTTTGAAGCTCTGCCACTTTTCAGGAAATTGAACTTCTCCTATTTCCCCATAATGCATTTCTGACTCATGTGTCATCGTCTGAGTAAACATGTAGTCACATATAGTGTGTCGGTTGTGTGTCAGATTTGTTTTCGTTTATTTTTTCTCTTTTTTTT